CAGGCACCTCTTCACTCCCCAGTACACACGTCCACTCTTCAAAGTACAACAAATTTCAATCCTCAGACTAAGGCTACTTCTGACAAAGGTTACCTCGCGGATCATTTTACGGCGGGCGAACATGCCAGGTACTACTCAGACACTCGCCTGGAGGGACTGAACAAACCTACGAACAGCCCGTCCCCGGCCTGGAACCTACCTAATGCTAATCAGACAGGTCACCGATTAGCCAACCTGCTCAGATTATGGAGAGTGCTTAGTTGGTTCGTAATTTATTTAAAGACGCAAAACGTAGAATAAGGCGAGTCGATAATTTTGCATCGAAGAGGTCGTGGCATACTTTAAGGTACTATAAAGCAAGTCCGAACCTGGAGAGAATGAGGAAAACCGAGAATGACCTCCCAACATTTTCCAAAAACCAAGATCGGAAACAATTCCCTTCTTTTCACCTACAAAATGTCTCAACTGCCAGTAATTTGTCGCTTAATTAAGTTAGTTAAACAACGTCAATCGATCATCAGTGTATAATGAATTGGATGGGATATTTTGTACAACCATGCAAAACCTCGGTGGTCCGAAGGCCGAGATTTGAATTCCGGACCTCCAGAATACGAAGAGTTCCTCTAGCTATCAAATACACACATATGGACACACGCGCCTTACCATTTCTCTCACCACACGATGGCGATAAATATAGCCAAGAAACCATCACACAGATGGCATTTTTCTCTGGTAACCTTGCTTCCCACACGTGGTTAACCTTGAAATGATACCCAAATAAGAACTACAGACCATAGACTTGCAATATCGGTTACAGCCAAACGTCGCAACGCACAGATCGGGAGGACCTTGTGAAGAATCTGAGCGCAGACGACCGAACCACGAAGAATGGAAAAGCATTCGGTGTTGCTTACAATCAGGGGCAAACAAACCACCAGGCCGCGCCATGCAGACAGCATTTTATCTCGGGTTTTCGTTATGGACAGCAGGTCCTCATTCAGGTCGTGCAGTCGGGTCTATTGTCAATCACTAGCACAATCGCTATCAACTTTCCATAATTCTGACGTCACCCACACGCCAAGTTGTTTGCGGATACCGATAAGTGTCAAATCCTTCGTTTCTCTTTCTTCATACAAGAAAGAAGAAGCTGTTACATATTTTAAGATAATAATTGCATAATTAACAACGTGCACATCGAAGACAGAATCCAACATCACATGTTCTTCTAGAATGTAAAAACGTAAATGGTGAACACGTCCTTCTGCCTTCAAGTCGTAAACAGATGCTGGACCTGAAGACCTCGAGACTACTAGACAACATTTGGGCAAGGGCAGATGCACTCTCCGCCCGTACAGGAGGCTGGAGGGCTCTCTCCGTCGGATGGCCATGGTTGTGGACAGAAAATCCATGCCTGTATCTGGAATCGAACTCATTCTCCTGAAGCCATTGTGAGGAGGTCATCTCACGCTCCACGGCACGTTGCGGACAGTACATACAAAACCCTAACGCAGGCAAAGGATAAAGCGGGCCCTGTATTTAGTCGAATTCCACGCCATGAAGTCGTATGCGAAAAAGGTGGCCTAACTCCACGCATTGACCATGGCACTAGTTGGAGGCGAGTGGCTAGCTTGAGGCCCCGGCCGCTTTTCTCCTGATGCCTACTGGCTTGGAGACTACGAGGGCCTCAGAGTCGGTCTGGAGAAAAATCAACCAGAAAATGCCACTGAAATTTGTAATGCCTGAAGGAGAAAAACGTGTCTGGCCCAGGTTACAGGGTTGGCTCCTAATCAAAAGAAATGGTACGCACTGCAATTTCAGGGCACCTCGCCATGGCGCCCAGTAATACTTTTATTTTATGTCTTTGGCTCATTTTAAAACCCCAGCTCTTAAATTATTGCGCTGCAGAACTGCTTATAATCGCTCATTTGCCATTGTAAGAATTATGGTAGGCATTTCATTTGCACTGTCATTAGGCGGGGCAGAGTTTGGCTTCTATGCTCATCAGAAGGTGCAAACCACTTTAAAGCGGAGAACGAGCTGACAGCGAGCTCTACAAAAGACGCAATGTGGTAGGACGATCATGGTTTATACAATTCTTTATCGATCATAACCATGTTTAAAATACCTACTGGCATAAACCAATGAAAGTTGCAGCAACAGTAGTTGACAGGAAGACTCGAGCAAATATGTCTGACAAATTTCATTTCCGTTATTTTTGAAAGTGACGTCGAAGGTGTTAATATAAAGCAAGCATCAGAAAATGGAAGTGAAGTGGAACTGGTCACAGTGTTGCAGAACTCTCCTCTTCAACAGGCCAACTTGAAATTCAAGGAAGACCAGTGTAAACTTGCATTTAATCATAGGTCAAAATTCTGAGATATTGAAAGGTTTTGCTGCTAAATGAGAGGAGCAACAGTGATGGAATTGGATCCTGCAAAATCTGCGGATCAGCGATACTTCGTTTCGAACTCTACAAGACTTGGACATTTCCACAAGATGCCAAATAAATAATATTAGAAGTTAGCACAAGACTCATTTGTTGACTGACCATGTAACTGTGTTAAAGTTGGAACTAAAAACAATGTACATTAAGAAGCTGTACACATTCTTCAACTACTTTAAAGCAAAACTGTGCGCGGAAGTCAACCTAACCTGTCACTGAATTTAAGTTTCATTTAACATTATTAAATCATATGCAAACATGCTAATTTTTTTAACTTTTCAAACACGACTGATCAATGTATCGAAAAGACGTACCTAGGGGATCGATGAGACTAAACGTACAGAACATGTCAGCCATGACATATTTAATGAAACAAAAAACGTATCTGACACATGACAACTGCTTTGTAAAGTATTTAACAACACTGAACAAAGACCAGAAGTTATGCGTGATCAAATGAGATGCGAAGAATCGAAAATACAGGGAAGAAAGAGCAGTTGTTCAGAAGAACAAGAATAAAAATCAAAACTTCATTCTCAATACGGTTGTCAAGATTACAGCATTTTAATTGTACAAAGTGCTGGTATTCACAACATTGGCTAGTACCAAGAAGGATCTCTGAAATACAAAATCAATTTTATCTATTCTATTTTAAAATTGGACACAAGCATGTGGATTAGTCCACTGGATTATTGTGTGTGTGTGTTATGCATTACTGGTAATATTCTCAATAAAGATGGTAGAGTATCTGTTCTATTTTAGAAGTGCATGTGCAGCTTTAAATGAGCTGGAGTAGTTCAGTACAAACAGTGTCTGACTACAAACTGGATGACCAGCGTTTGATCACCAGTAGGACCAATTTTACTTCTAGTCTCTGCATCCAGACCAGCTCTAGGGCCCACCCAGCCTCTTATCCAATCGGTACTTTCCTCGGGAGTAAAGTGCAACCAGGGTGTGACACTAACCACTCACTCCCATTTAGTGCTAAAGACAGAAACAAGTAAGTAGGAGCTGTATGTCCTCTCTCCCCAAGTGCCCCCATGGTGTGTAGTGGGACACCCTTACTATTGACAGCTTCTAGTACTTATAAATAAAGTAATTCACTAATTAGAAAATAATACATTAATCACAGATTCATATCTGTATGGTAATTTTTCACGCCTGGTAAAACTCAATATGAAATCTAAGAATGACGATGTTTCAGTATCAGCCTAAATTCAACCTATCACTCATCTTTATCAATGAATAAGTAAGTATACAGTGCTTCAGTGTTAGATCAAAATAAAACTGTTTACAATTCGTAGTCATGTCATCACCATCTTAATCCTTCTTTATATAAATTAAGAAACAAAATGACTGTTTACTATGACAAAATAATTTCAGCAAGTTTGAAACAATGCTTTATACACCACTGAAAAAAGCACATACTAAGTCCTTAGAATGATTTGCTGGGAAAACCATAAAAAACTGGAAAGGTGAAGAAAAAAATCTGTACACACACATCCAAGTGGTAAATGTCATAATTTGTTTTGTATTTGTGTAGTACATTAGACTAGGTATCAAAAAGAGGACAGAGCTATTATAATAAGGGGAGTCTTAAAAAAATAATATAAATGAAATTGAGTATGGCCACGAAAGATTACTACATACTGGATACGTAACAATAACAACAAATATGCAAAATCAATTAGAGGAACTAAAATCAATTAGAGGAACTATGACATCAGTACTAGATAAAATAACCTACAAATCATTTGGATGCATCTGTCTTCCTGGCATAAAGAATATAATAAAATGACTAGTTGGATTTCTCTCTTAAAAATATAAAACGTTAGATTAATGCATTACGTAATTATATCTCGCAAAAGGAAAGCAGCAATATGCTTCAGGCATACCAAATATTGCAACTTTTTCAGTAAAAGAAGTTTACAATTGTACAAACTTTTTAGTTGCATAATATAATTCGGACACTAATAATGTTTGTCGCGACTTCACTTCAATTCAGTATCTACATGCAAATTTAACGACAAAAATTGTTCGCTCAAGGTAAAGTACATTCATTCTCTGTTAAAGTAATTCAAAGATAGAAAGTGATTTTAAATGTATGCACAATAGGAAAACTGAATTCATTAATGAATGATTTGGCAATAAGTGATTGACACAAAGGTTTCATATTCTCCAACAGTGGTCAAATTCAATCAATCAGTATGACCCCCTGAATTTATTATTCGAGAAAGTGTACAAATCAAACTCTGCTACATATTACGACCAAGGCCTTGAACTTCTATAACAAAAGATGATACTTACGGTTTATTATTTACGAGCTGAACACCGTATTATGAATAACTCTAGAATTATGGGCACTGATTAACAAATATCACAACCCTCACTCAACAGAACACAATGGAACCAAAAACATTCAACACCAAGCATAATGTGTACTTTCTCTGCATTTTACCACCAGAGTGAAGCACTATGAAAGCAAGTAGGTTGTATTCTTCTTTTTGTTGTTATTAAACTCGCTTCTCTGCTACCAGCAACGTTCATCCAATCTGTCAGGGTTGCCAATCTTTAAGAATTGTCAACAGGGGTAAATAATCTGCTGAGTAGGAGTGAGTTCACAGTTATTTTTTTAATGCAGGCTGGAATTCTAGTATGACATGATTTAAAATATATATTGTAAGTGGAAGGTTATTGAATGTCAGTGAGTATAATGTTTGGCATATGAAATTCATATTTATGTCGTGTTTAAATTGTGTACATCGGTAGTTCTTCGAAATTTCTGCCAAGTTCTCCACCACAAATGATAGTTGGGAGAGTATATATTCACTTGCAAATTGGAGTGTGCAGCACAATTTGTTCAGGTTATGTTTGTGTTTGCTTTTTTTTACATTTTCTTTTGCAGATCTTGCCGCCATTATGATCAGAATTACAGTGAATTAATTGCTGAAAGGAATGGTGAATGAGGTCTTTTGTCACAACTCTCTTAGTAATGAGGAAAACAGAATGAATTCTGATTCAAACCACCAGACTTTCTCATGACAAATATTCTTCACTCTTCTAAAAAGTTGAATTTATTTACATTCCATAGATCCCTCATAAGCCAGTGATGTAGAATATGTCTTAAAACAAATTCCATACAAAGTTTTAACAGTTGTTACAGATGTAACTAACTAGATGGCTTACAGAATCTGAAGGTTCATCACCGAAATAACCAAAGCCCTCCACCGGACCCTGTCCTGAGCCAACAAAATCCAGTCTCCTTCAACTCCTATCTCCCATAGATCCCGCCTGAGATTATCCTCCCATCTACGTCTAGGTCTCCCCAGCGGTCTCTTCCCCTCAGGTTTCCCAACCAATACCCGGTGCACACTTATTGCCCCATCCATGTGCGCCACATGCCCTGCCCATGTCATTCTTTTTGACTTAATCATCCTGACAATATTGGGGGAGGAGTACAAATTTGTAAATAAAAAGTTTCTTGGATGTTATCCATCATCTAATAAAATAATAAAATTGAACGACGTTTCGGAGATCGGACTCTATGTGTATACCTACTCTGTTGGGCCCAATCGATAGAGCTAATCTCTATCTCCGAAACGTCGTTCAATTTTATTATTTTATTAGACGATGGATAACAACCAAAAAACTTTTCATATTCTAGCACAAAATTAAAGAGCAATGGAGACAAAGTATCTCCTTGTTTCAGACTGTTCTTGATGGAAAATGAGTCTGATAAGTATTTACCCATAAAAATTTTGCTACAGGTTTAATTTAAGAACATTTTTGTTAGACTCACAAGCTTCTTTCGTATACCAAATTCAATGAGAATATTGTATAACACTTGCTACAGATATATCTGTTATATGTAAACTTTCATGTAAGGAGGTGTAGAGGAATTCAATCAAATTTGAATTGTGCTTCAGACTAGAGACTTGCTTAAACTGCCATCTGGAGTATAGTTTCAATTTTACAGACATTGTGTTGAAAAGACTATGAGCATTCCTACAGGAAGACAGATTCTTCGATTATATCGAGATCTTCTAAGGTATGGAAGACAGTTACAGTTCACTGACAAGAACTACTTTGCCCGTAGAATAAGAGAGGAATTTAAACAAGCAAAGAACACTGAAAAAGTAGAAGACATCAATTTTTATTTCCAAGTAAGTTGTAACAGAATCAGTAGCAGTATTTTAGACGTTATTCTCTGTAACATGAACTTGGTGAGCCTCTTTCTCTTCCTGCTTACATAAGGAGAAATATGTCAGGGAGCAACCAGAAAGTAACAGGGCTGATTTGTGTTCTGTTCTTTAAGTTGGTGCCTTTGGTAAGGTGGTAGTTGGAGATAATCATAACAGTTGGATCAACTCTGAACTAGTCAGCAAAGATTCGTTTTAATAGTACCCACCACAAAGGAAAAGAGAATTAAAATGTTTCATGCTTGAAAGTAGGTATTTAACATTTTTGCTACATGTTAATTTTATATTTACTTATGCTGTACGTTTCTGTTCTTTCAGAGAGGACTTGCACTGTTGAAAAATAAACGAGTAGTATAATAAAATAAACTGTTGGAACAACTTGAAAGAAATGTCTATGTTCACTCGCATTGGTTTTGGACAGCAACCAACAATTATTTTGCAGTTGTCCTTATCAAAAATAAATGTTTTGTCAGAATATATTAATGTAAGTGTACGTAATAAATGCACACTGGACTACTCCAGAGTTCCAGTACTAAAAGAGGAAGAACTAGATGAGCACTTCATTAAAGGCAGTGGACCTGGAGGTCAGGCAGTCAACAAGACCAACAACTGTGTGATGCTTGTTCACAAGCCGACAGGTATTCTCTCCATTGCCAAAGCGAATGTCTCAAGGTTTGCATTATAAACTTTATGAATACTTACGCAGTTTCATTCTAATAATAACAGTTATAAAAGGGTTAGGTGCTGCTCATATATGAAGAAGCACTTGACAGAATTTTCCTTCCACTTGAAGCACTGGGCGATAGAAAACTTTTTGTTTGTTTTCTATTGTGAAGGGTCATTATTGAAGTTTTTTGTTTGATTAACAGGTGTTGTGGTAAAATGTCACCAGTCCCGGATGCAAGAAGAGAACAGAAAGCTTGCAAGGAAGGTTCTAATCAGAAAGCTGGATGATCTGCTGAATGGTGAATTAAGTGTTGAAGCACAACAAAGAGCCATTCAAATTAAAAAGAGCAAGAAGAAAAATCTCCGCCAAAAGAAGTTAGCAGAATTGAAGGCAGAGTGGATGGACAGAGAAAGACTTGTGTGACTGTTTGATTTGAATTTCTCTGTATGATCTGAAGCTTTCATGGCAATAAAGTAAAATTAATTCTTCTCGGGCTACCAGCCCGAGAATAATTTATTGTAGAATATATCTCTTCCTCACTCCTTGATCTGCCCTTTCAATGGTCTGGTACTAGTAATATGGTAGCAGCGAGAAAAGACTGGTAAAACATGGGTTTTCATGGTTGATACAATTGGTTCAGATGGAAGTCCTGGTAATTTTGGTGTAGTGAATTATTTTAATTTGATTGCAAGAAGTTTAAGGTGAGCAGTAGCAAGGTTCATTGTTGAATGATTCTTTGAAGATGGCTTGATACACTTAACTTCACAGTTCTTGAAATCACACTATTCTTATGATAAAGTCCATTGTCTCTAATTTGTTCCAGTAACATGAATCATCCTGTGTGACTGGAACTTGTTGCTCAGAGTACAATTTTTACATTGTTAATGAAGGAATCAAGATATAAGATGTATACAAAACTGCAGAGCCAGTGTCAGACAATATATTTGCTTCGGTTTATCGAAGAAACATGTTTTCTCTTGCCCACATCTCTCCTTCATTTCTTCATCCAATGCCAACAATTCTCATAAACCCACTCTCTGCATCCAAAACAAACATACGCCGCCCTCCGTCACTGTGTTAAGTTTTAGTCCCCAAGGCCCTGATGGGACTAAATGAAATTTGTGTCAGGTTTGGATTGGTTATTTTGTGTTAGGTTTCTTAGGGCTTCAAGGCCCTGATGGGCCTAAGTGGTCCAAAGGGCAGTTCTGTAAGTTTAGGACTGGTTAGTTTGTGTTATGTTTTAGGCCATGATGGGCCTATGTGGCCCAGATGTCCCAAAGACTCCAATGACTCAAAGGACCTAGATGGCCCAAAGGGCACTTGAGTAAGTTTAGGATAGGTTATTTTAGGTTGGGCTTAGCAGGAATATTAATCGGACAATAGTGCTACTTTAAACTATTCAATATCTGACCCTAATATACATGTTTATAATAACTGGAAACATTTCCCTCTAAGTTTATGAACCACCCATTCCAACAATTTAAGAACAGCCTTTAGTATCAAGTTTCCGCAAGTTATACATCCGCTGCGGGTAGATAGCAGCACCTGGAAAACGTGACGTTTTACGTTTAATTGCCAACTAATCGAGTAATTGAGCTGTATGTAGGTATTTCTGTGTTCTGTAGCACAGTCAAGGTTATGAACCGTGTGAAAGAAGTAGCTTGTTTAAGTGTTAAACTGGATACGTGTGATAAGCGCACCTCAAATGTATAAAAACTTAGGTTCTGTTGGAAAATATAAGATGTCAGTGCGTAGTTGCTGTCAATGTTTCTATATTTCCCTAAGAAAAGTTTAGCTTTTCTTTGGTGTGTCCCCGTCCCAACAGTATACCAAATGTTAAAAGAATTCACAATTTCAGAAGTGTTTCTCAATTTGAACACGCCTAAGGCGTAATCCGTAAAAGCTGAAGAACAACATGTAGAAATTGCGTATTATGTCCAAATTATTCGTTATGGGCGATTCTGAAGAATTCCCTAAATGCTGAAATTTTATTAAAAATCGTCAATATGTATGATGATTTGTATTATGATGAGACAAAATATTTAAACGGCATATAAGGTGAACGATGAAGTTGTTATTCTTTAAATGTTAAAGCGTTCAGTGTTCTCCTGACATGCCATCAGTCTCTGATGAAAGATTGAGGTTTTTGCTGTAGTAAGGAAGGTAATACTGTTCTTCTGGGTTTCGGCGCCGTGTAGGCCAGTTGGTAGATGTCGACGTTTCGTAGAAACATACTGTATCCATCTTGAGGGCGCTGAAACCCAGAAGAACAGTATCGTTATTCCACTGAAAATTGTCCCTGTAAGACATTGCTTAGATAAGGTTGATTAAAATTGATGGTCTTAACACCATTTAAGTCAACTTTTGTGCCCCAAAAGAACATCATCCTTGAGGTAGTAATTCACCTCCATTAGATGTTGCTATACTTGTGTTAGGTCTGATTGCACATGGTCATCTTGTCAGTGTTCTCTGCACGGTTAGTCGTTCAGTAAATGTGCAGATTGTTAAAGTGCTGCTGTGGTCCAAGTTCCAAAACCATGAAGATGCTAATTTCTTTAATGTTTGTATAAGTTCATTTGATCTCACAGAATTATCTCTGCATGAATGTGGTGCAAGAATTGCCCAAACTAAGTAGGATGCACTAGTATACTTAACCCAGCCAGTTATTTTAGTCACTAAATCAAAAGGTTTTAGTACTTGCACAAGCACATGCCCCTTTTTCACTGATCTGAAGAGAAATCTGGGAGGATTTGTCTATTGGTCTTAATTGATTCTTTGAGAAGTATGGCATTTGTTGAGTTCTAGGAAGTTGGAACTTCATACACAAGTTTACTGCTTGCGTTCCTTTAGCATTAATTCATAATGGTTTAATTTAATTGGAAACTTTTATTCTTACATTGTTCAGTAGCTTTAGCACATGAATGTTTTGTAATCTTTTCTTGATATTTAAGTGAATAGAATGTACAAATATCCAAAATGCTTTAATTTTTGTAGCTGTTGGAAAACACTTTTTATGTCAGATTTGAGGTTTTCACAGCGGTGAGTACGAAGATTTCTGTCTTCTGGGTTGTTGCGCTGTGTAGTCTGGTCGATGTTTACCAACGTTTCAGAGGTCATACTGCCTCCATCATCAGGGCGATGAATGTTCAGAATGTTTATCGCCCTGATGATGGAGGCAGTATGACCTCTGAAACATTGGTAAACATCGACCAGACTACACAGCACAACAACCCAGAAGATAGAAATCTTCCATGAACAGTTAAATTATACTCAGTACTTTCAATGTATCTCGAAGGACCAGAGCCCTTTTTGAGAAGGTAATAGACATGTAGGCAATCAAGATATTTCCTGCCTGTTATGGAATCAAAAGGTTTATTACTGTATTCAGATGAATGTGTTATCTGTTCCAATTCTGAAACACAAGATTTTAATCCATATCCACACACCATAATATCTTAAGATCCATTTTAATATGCCCAGTTCATATAGAGCTGCTTCTTCATATTTATTTCAGAATGGCCAGAAAACTGTGTGGAATTTATCATGTATGTTACACATGGGGTAAAACCAATGTCATACCAAGAAGATTTCTTGCAGCTATAAATAATGATTTCAAAAGAGCCAAGTTTGAAGAAGACTTCTTGTCATCCCACATAGAAACGACGGGATTCCAGAAATTCCTGCTAACTGTAGGTTCAGCTGCAGTGTCACTATTGGATCCTACCAGAGCTGACATGATTGCAGTTATGGGGGAAACTGCTGGAGATAGTGCATTTAGATACATCTTGCAAACAATGCAGTCAGACAGTGAAGGACAAGAAATTCTTAGGTAAATTGAATTTATTAAGTTTTATTCAAAGACATGCAGAAAATATTGGGAACTATGAACTGTGTAATTTATCTGTTCACAAATCAGTGACTGATATTTTGCTTGTATTTTTTACAAATGCAGTTCTTGCAGAATTATTTATTATAATAGTGTTACCAGTATGCTCAAGCATTTTAAGCTATTCAGAAAAATTGCACATTTATTCCTAAGTCTAAATGCATACAAAAGGCTCCAGAACATTTTAGTCAGATTGAGTGGTAAAGCATACTGAACTTTGATTAAAATTTCCACATGGTACAAAAGCCTATTCTATGTGTGGTTCAGAAATTAGGGCAGTAACAGATTGAGGTTATTGAAATGCATTTTTTATGAGAGTATGAGTTATTCTGATATCATTACTGATAGAATGTTCAGGTTACTTCAAGTGTATGGGAGAGTGGTTATTAGATTTAAGTTGTCTTTCTGGACCCCTGTTTGTGGCCTCTGACAATATATTGCACTATGTCTTGCAAATATGCAGTATTTTATTTTGTGTGTATGTAAGTCTTCGGTTAAGAGAAGCTAGTAACACACAACATTTACTACATAATATATAAGCATTTTAGAATACAACAGTGATTTAAGTGGTTTTGAACAAGCAAGAAAAGAAGTTAAAATAACAAATTTTTGTACATTACCCATTACTCCAGCCTCTGCATCCAGAACAGCTCTGGGACCCACCCAGCCTCCTATCCAGTGGGTACTGGGATCCTTTCCTGGGGGTAAAGCGCGGCCAGGGCATGACGCTAACCACTCACCCCTACCTAGTGCCGAGGTTAAGAATGAGTAGGAGCTACTACATGGCTTTACTTTACTTCTTTGCTGGCTATCCTAATTTTTTTAAAAAGTGATTCATAGACTGGAATCTGTCGTGATCCTCAGGTAGGCCCCAGTTTGTTGGGCCCAGTTTATATCCAAACAGCAATTCTGTTGTAGAACAGTACATTTCCTTTCTGGTTACCTGAGAAGCCCTGTTGTACAGAATGAATGTTTGCATCTGTGGCAGAAACACAGTCATTCTGTACAGCTCCCAGGATTATTAAGTCCCATTAAAAGGTAGTCTTAAATGGAGTCTTAAAGAATCCAGCTTCTAACAGAAGGGAAGATGCTACTGCAAAAGTTAGTATCCTAAAAATCAGATTGAGACTGTTGGTTTCTGTGTACTTCGCTTGCATAAATCAGTTCACTTCATTTGTGTGAGAGCTAAGAAATGTTGACTGACTTACCAAATTTAATTTTTCTGCAGGAATAGACCACGGATAAATTCCCTCACAGTTGATTTGGAGAAGCTTCGACAGATGCCAGATGGAACTTTGGGGAGAGCATATATAGCATTTCTGGATTATAATGTAAGTATCTTTGTATAATTTAATAATTGACAATATAAAAGAAATTGGAATTTGAAAGTAAATTTAGTATTTTTCATGTAATGTTTTCCCCACTGATTTTGCAGAAAGAAGGGGACTTGTCTTCTCTTTACCTAAGATCCATCTGTATAATAGGCAAAAGTGTTGGTTTGTGATAGTTTTTTTTAAAAATTGCTATTAGACTAAAGAGCAACATAAAAACATAAGCATACCTCTTTGACATAAGATTTATTCATTGACTCTTGTGTAATCATCTTATTAATCTGATTATTTTCACAAGTTTTACTGAAATACATGACCATACATTTTAAACATTGTTCTCTGCCTTCTGTACTAATTCAGTTGTTTATTAGAGACTGGTTACTTACAGAACAGCATAGATTCAGACTGTGTGTTACAGATTGCTCAAATAACACATTGTGTAGCCTATGATTTATATATATATTATTTGTGTAGATATGATACGGAGGAGGATGAGATAAGTGAGATCCAAATCGTAATGTACGTCACATTAAATGTTTTATAAAATGTTTGTAACATACTAAAGATATAATTTCTCTACTTGATCTCAAGTTTGTATTTCAATTTCTATTTTTGTATGGTGTTCCAAAAAGCAGCCAATTCTGGCAGCTGGTGCAGTGCGAGGTTGCATTGTTTGCACCTGTAGGATGTTTAAATCTCACATTCTGATGGTGATCTTTGTTCATTTAAATGTACAATGTGCACAGTTTTGCACAGCCTGTAATTTTTTGCAAGGAAAGCAATTTTAGAGAGGTTCTACCTATAGGTTGTAACAATTCTGTCATTTCTTGACTAATTAGTATAAGTTTTAATATTGTATTTCATCATGTAAGTTTGGATTGGAGATGTCTTTGCCCCCAGGAAAGTGCTACTGGCTGAAGGTTTATTGGAGGCTTTTACTTTCATAATATGGAGAATTCTGGAAAAGGGGTTTTAGAAAACCCATCAGCTGGTAAAACAGCTTTATAAACCAGATCTATTAGTTTTGAAAAATATGTAATTTACGTGATCACAGTTTAATTTATTAGTAACAGTCTGTGAATGGAGGTAGCATCCTGTTATTGTCTGAGCTATGACTTAAGTGGATTATACTGATATTAAATTTGTAAGATAACATAAAAAGTTTATGTTAAGAAATACAGATATTAGAGAGCAATTAACATCCACAGTCTAATTAAAAATATTATAGAACATACAGTGTTTTTAAATAGATTACTATACAAATCATACATAGTACAACAACCCAGAAGACAGCCATCTTCATGATATACATGCCAGAACAAGGTATTTGTAGTGAAAACATTTTATTCTGCTCATATAATGGTTTGAGTGTAGTATGTTTATCACAGGAAATTCAGTAGCAGGGAAAGTAATATATACTGAAACAACCCTGACATTTTTGATAAAGTGAAAGAAGTAATATCTCCTGATTTCATCAAACTCGCTGCAAACACTCTGAGCAGAGCAGTTGCTAATTTTCATCATCTTGGTTGCCAGTAGTTGGCATGTTGAACATGTTTCCCATTAACAGATTAGAATGACAATTTATCTAAGCCTTCTGTGTGGTGTAGTATATAAAGAAATATGTGTAATTTATATTGAAGCGTCTTTTTTGATTGGTTCTGTATGTGATGAGTTTTCAATCCTGCAGCACTAAAAGGTAATGGTGTAGAACAAATCAGTCTCTTTATTTTTAAAGTATTCACATTTGAAACTATTTATTCTTATTCTCAGAAAGTTACTCCTGATTCTCGGTTAACAGTGCAGTTTGTGGATGATGTAAAACTGGCGTATGTTGTGCAACGATATCGAGAAGTACATGACCTCATCCACACGGTACTTGGAATGCCTACAAACATGCTCGGTAATAATCACTTCAAGATTAATATTATAATCATCATTGTCTACGAACATTTCCATTGTCCTCTGTCTTCTCATGATAATTCTATTATTTTTCAAGTCTCAATACATCATGCCCCCTTTGAAATTTGTATATAAAGCTGCCTTCTGGGCACTTAATTTTGTCTCCATTGTCTATTCTTAGTTTTTCACCTTCTTTTCTCAGGTGAAGTTACAGTAAAGTGGGTTGAAGCAATTCAAACTCGGCTTCCAATGTGTGTTGGTGGAGCTTTATTTGGACCTCTTCGGCTGTATCCAAAGTAAGGAACGTGGGGGTTGTATTTATTTCAGTTTGATAAACTAGGCCATATAAATGTTCACTAATTTTATTAAAAGAAAGTTGTGCATGGATAATCTGCACACAGATAAGCAGGAGTTATTGAACTGACTAAGGATCATATCCATGGTAGACTGTGATATTAATTGTGTTGAATCTTAGTGATCTGGTCCAATAGGAATGTTTATTTGAGGAATGGAACTTGTTTGGTAAGTATGTTTGTATGTTACGTATTTTTGTATTATTGTAAGGCTAGATCAATTTAATTTCAGTGTTTTGTTATGACAGATACTTGTCATTTATATAGTTTTAGCTACTTTATAAAATGAAGAAAATGTTATGTAATTAATTCTGATTTTGCAGGCAGCGGCAGAAATATGTCAAGTATTACCTACCATGGGCCATCCAGACTGGAACAAATTGTAAGTTCCTCATGAACATATATTATGAACATCGCTGGGAGCAACCTATCATAGAACTTCATGAAGAGCTACATATAAAAATGCTAGAAGTACCAAAGTCTTGATGTTGTATTATTATAGATTTCTTGGTTAAGAAGATATGAAACTATAAATATTTAATGTAGTTTAAATAATGGAAGTTGAGAACATTTCTGCCTCATTACAGCAATGACAGATAATCCCACACTTAATGTTAAATATGAAGGCACAAGTGAAAGAAGAATGTAATAAAACTTATTGTTTTGTCACAGCACATGATTAGTCTAAGAGTACACTGATAAATAATATTCTGGGATTTAAATACCATACATTGTGTATAATTTAACATTAGTTATTGTTGAATGTGGCTGATGTGGTTTTCAAGATGGACCAAATAATATCAAAATATAATAGAACTTTGAAATGTGATCTTATTATTTACATATTCAGGTTGTTTGGTTGTTTATGCTTGTTGAACATACAATTATATCACGTTGCATACAGTAAGACATGAATTAACTAATTGTTATTATCAAGAAGCATATCTTATTTGAGACTGCCTGATTATAAGCATTTGAAGCAAAACAGAAATAAGTACATTATTTAAGCAAAGAAATTTGTCATCTCAGGAACTGTTCTCTAGGCTTTGCTTTCTGTGTGAAGAGGTACTCAGTTCCACTTTTGGGTGAGCCCCTACTATAGTAAAATTAATGTGACATTTTTTATATCCCTGAACCATGGCTAAAATGTAGCCGTTGGGGAGAGTGAGTGAAGGATATTGCCAGTTAACCATGGCATGCTTTTCATGGCCAAGAGGTGAAGTAGTGTCATGGATTTGGTATACCCAGGTTCACTCTCCAGCCAAAATTACATTTTTTCATAAAATAAAACTATACCACATAAGACAATTTCCTAATTCACTTTCAGTCATTGAAGCACTTCAGTTTAAAAGCTTCACAATTAACATATTAAAATTATTTCACTAATTGGACACTTCATAAATACATTTTAATAAATTGTCAAAGTGACAGTTGAACCACCGCATGGGACTTTCTTCTGGAGCTCTTCCAAAAAAAGTATACAACATTTTAAATATAGTCCTCAAGCACTTGATAGCACTGTTCAAATACCATATATGTCACTATGTACACATTACTGTTATTGTTGCATACGAATAATTAGATTTCTGTCTTCCATGACTAAATCTTATTTTTTATTAACAAAAGTCTTCTTCCTTTCATCAGGTCTTGCAGGTGGTGTCACTGGGTTAAATACAAAACCTGGACCAAACAAAAAAAAATTGAATTAACTAAAGATCAATCAATGCTGAATAAAGATGACTTGCTAATTTGCATAACTATATCCCATCCAATCTGTTCCGTTGTGCACTAGGGTAATTTTATGATGCTAAAGCCTTATCCCTGCATTCACTGTATATCTTCATGTCATTTTTATTAGACATTAGGCCTAATTCTAATCTGACTCTCAATGATAGGATAAGATGAAATCAGTCTTAAGAACTGAATGCCCCAGTTTTATTCAGTGTGTGTGTTTCTCTCCTTGTATATTTATTTACAGTTTATTTAACATCATTCTCAATATTCAGACTAAGTAGTGTTGAATGACAGGATGATAGTAAATAATAAATTGGAAAGGATGTTGAAGGAAATGGTTGTGGCATAATTCAAGGCCTATCCTGGCATTTGCATGAAGGGAATGAGGAAAACCTCAGGATAGCTGATCTGCAGGCCGAGATTTTAACCTGAAATCTCCTGAATATGAAAGGGGAGTGCTAACCACTTGACCGCGATGTTCAGTCTCTCTTTTTGCAGTATTTTCACCCTTGCCATGGTGCATCCTTAGACAGTCTCCAAATATGGGGAGAAGTTATGAATATATTGAATAAGCCATTGCAAACGGCCAAGGGAAGAGAGTCCTTTGGCTTGGGATTTCATAAATTTGACTTGAATTTGGGAGGCACTCAGATCTAGTATTGCCATGGCCCTCAGCTATCCTGACTTTTTTTCTCCCTGCATCCTGTATCACTGTGTAGTCTGGTAGTAATTTACAAATATTTCAGAGGTCCTTGCTGCCTCCATCATCAGGGCATTTCCAGAAGACAACCATCTTCATTAATCTAACTTGCATTTAGAACTTTTGCTGGAAACCAGCTGTTCTGACTGGGGTTTCTTTTGGTATTTCTATGGTTTCATCAGGCAGATCTTGGCATAATACCTTTAAATAGGCCACAGCTGATATCTCTCATCTTTTTCAACACTAGATAATCTTTTCCGTTGAAACAGTGTCATTAAATAACTTATGAACAAACAAGTCCTTACTTTTACTTGCTTGTAGTTGTCCACTTGCATTTTCATGGTTAACTTCATCATAAGTATGCCTTATGTCTTGCAAAGTTGTTGGCCCTAAGGAGTAGTTGCTTCTTTTAGGTTTGGTTACATCATAACTGTCATTTGGTTGAGAGCTGGTTGTGTTGCACCGAAGTTTGTTATTTAAAGCCTGTTGAATGTAATATGTAAGATTAATTTTAATGTCAGAAACATCAGTACTTCTACACACATATTCAAATTTGGTATGTATGAGTATGTACATCCTGCAGTGATGCCCTTTAAGTATATTGTAGGAAGTAACAAATGAACTTCATAGTATGTCATTCCTTTTTAATTAATAGCTTGGTACACAGCAACACTAAACATTGTTAATCAATTTAAAATTGAAATCATTGTGCCTGTTTTTAATATTTAGTGTGGTTGTAGATGTTGAAATTGTGCATAAAAAGAAATGGCATAAACTGAGTCAGTTCTTTGTTTATATTCAAACCCAGTTATTTGTATGCAGTAATGGTTCTGAGTGAAAACAAAAATATCGTCATACGTTGAAGGGATTCACTGTGTACTTTGCTAAATATACAATACCATAAGATTCTGCAGATCAAATTTCATAATTATAAAATATTCAAACCCAGTTCTTTGTATGCAGTAATGGTTCTGAGTGAAAACAAAAATATCGTCATACGTTGAAGGGATTCACTGTGTACTTTGCTAAATATACAGTACCATAAGATTCTGCAGATGACGATTCTTTTGTACAATTTGATCCTGTAGCTCTCCTAATTGGCGTGATTGATTTTCCACTTCTTTTTCTAAGGCTAAAACAGAAGGTGTTAACATGAAAAATGTTCTTCAGTAAACATGTTAACGTTCATACTTATGTGAAACAGTAACATTTAAACAGAGAATAAATACTTGCCTTCCTTATTCCTCCTTTCTTTCTGCAAAACTGCATTCAGTTTCATAATTTCAGCAGTGTAAGTTTCCTCAGCCTGGGTTAAATTATCACTAGACCGCTTGTTAATAGCTTTATGATATTGTAACTCCTGATACATTTGATAATGCCAAAATGTAAGTGCACGGTTTGTTACATCCATAACTATCTCTGGGCGTAATCCTGCTAGAACCATCTTAAAAAGAAAGATAATATGTGATATGAAATTATGCTGCAAAGATCCCGGACATCGTCCTCTTCATCATTTCAACTACCATACCATAAAACAGGTTTAGTGTCAGGTGTGATTTGATACAGAACATTTTGGTCTGTCTTGTGTGTATTCAAAGGAAGTTATTGCAGAATTTGAGTTGTATGTGTGGTCATGCACAATCCCGATCACACAGTTTGTGTTATAAGGTCAGTAGCTCCAACAAATTCTAACTTAACAAAGTTTGTCACCATATTCTAAAACATATCACATTAGTGAAATTGTAATCTGCTTCTATTTATACAGAAAGGTGATGGCTTACAGATTTAAATTTGTCAGGTGGATTTAAGTCCACCTTTACAATGTCATGCTTCTCTGGAAGTTGACTGTTGCAAGCAGGACATAGGATATTGTTCTGTGTGCTAAAAAATGTCTGGTCAGCATCCTCATCACAAAATGCGTGTGAACAGCTTGTTATCCAGGCGCACGTTGTTAAACGTTTTCTGCAGTTTTTATTGTTACAAAAAAGGTCCATATCTGTCATTATTGCAAACAAATGGATAAATTCTATTACACATTAATTCTGAAGGTAGAAATCATTGTAACTTCAAACAACACGCACACGAACTGTCAATTGCTAATCTACACTTCCTGCGTTTAAACTTCCCACAAATAAGTACGAACTACTAAACGCGGTGCCATTATAAGCACACATGTTGCAGGACGTAAAGGGAAATTTTATTTTGCTAGACTGAATTCATTGACACATCTTGAATTTCATTCTAGGATTTGAGCGTATTTTGTTGTTTATAAGGAACTTTCCTTTGCCGTACTTTTCAGAAGAAACCCAGGATGTTTGGGTTCATAATTATTTCATATCGAAAGAGTTCTTCATATTTAGAACTCGAAACGTTCTGACCAACCCTCACCGAAATCCTGCATACATTGTCCGGCTTCCTCCCCCCCCCCCCCCCCATAATCAAATCATTGCAACCAACATTTGCAGAGAAACGGAAGAGGTGAATCAAAGTTTATAAAAACTCTTCATATGCCAACTAACGGCACAGGCATTGCTGTCATGTGCATGCAAACGCCGCGAAAGGGGAGTGAATTTCTGGTGCGTGAATGTTTATTCGAGTTTTTATTTTCGTTTTGATGGAGGTATGGCTGTATATAAAGCAAGGTGTGTTGATTATGTCAGTGGGTAAATGAATTTATTTTAATATGTATTGCAAACTGTATATTTTTTACTTAATTTTGAACATTTTATTTGTAGGTTAAAAGAATTTGATGACGTTTTGGAACAGGAAGAAATTAATTTGAAGAATCTCAAGCAACTTTGTTTCAATGGTTAGTAAATCTCTACTGGCAATTCTCCTTACAAATTTTAATGGACTTGGGGCTGGTGCAAGAAACTTAAACCAAAGTTTTTTAGGCCGTGTAATTTGAACTATAGGAATACCCACTGCTTTAGTTGAAGTGTTATTTATGACATGTTGTGCCACGTTATTTGAAGTTGGCTTTTGCCCACTGCTTTAGTTGATGTGTTATTTATGACATGCTGTGCCACGTTATTTGAAGTTGGCTTTTTTTTCTTTTTTGCAAACATATTCTCGTGCCATTTTTCCATTCGTATTTGGTAAGGGGTTTAGTATAAAAACGTAAACATAAGAAATGACTTGGGAGACCCAACTGACTGAGGATGAAAGTGTAATTATTAAATAAAACTGGTATTGAAGGAATATTGAATGAGAATATCGACTGAATTCATGGATCTCAACTAGGGTTTAGCATTGCAATTTAACAAGCATTATAATGAATCTGTAGGTTCCACCAAAACATAATGAGCCAGGTGGCCATGAACGTCACAAGGACTGTACTCTAGGAAGAAAGTTGTTTATGTATGTATGCATGTGTATTGAAGCTGTGCTGGTGGCACTGCACAAAAATGGGATACCCTATAGCATTATATGAAATCTGAATTACTTTCGGGGTCTTCTATTCTTCACAGTCCCCACAATGAATTATGAGATTTAATGGGTTTTACTTCTCTAAACAAGTGTTGACTCATTCATCTATTATTGCAACAAATGAACTGAAACAATATTAATAGCAGAATGAAGATACCGAACTGTAACCAATGTTAATATTGTCTTGTATGATGAAACAAGGATTTAAAAGACTGACATGGTGTTTTGGTAATGTATTATATAATTTGTAATTTTCTCACATTAGTTAATGTGAACTAAATCTTGAATAAATTTTTACAGTGAAGGGAGATCGTATGGGTGCATACACAAATGACAAAAAAAGGATTAAAACACTTGCCATTGGCATTATGCATTTTAGGGTTCTGAAGTTTGTAGGTTTTACTAGCATTTGTACTGCTTGTAGATTTCATTATAATGTATCACCATTAAAATTTCATAATTATAAAATATTTCACTTGAGTTGCCATTTTATTATTTTTTTCTACTTTTTCCAAAGAGATAACATGAATAAAAATTGTGTGGTTTTTAAAGATGTATCATCATATAAAGAAGGTCAGAGGGAATCAGAAATGGCTCAAATTGAATGGTCTACACCAGGTACTTGCCTATGCTGATGATGTTAATTTCCTGGGGGATGGTATGGGTACCATAACCAAAAATACAGAAACTCTTCTACAGGCTAGCAAATGAATAGGCCTTGAAGTAAATGTAAACTAAATACAGGGGCGTAATACGAGATAAACATCAGCGTATCTGGGAACAGTAACAAATAGTAATGAGGTCTATGATGAAATTAGGAGTAGAATACATTCAGGAAACACTTGTTTTTATTAAATTGAAAAACTGTTATCATCCCATTTGTTATCCAAAACACTGAAGATCAAGATATTTAAAACAATAATTTGGCCTGTTGTCTTGTATGGTTGTGGAACGTGGTCTCGTACCTTGACGAAAGAACGTAGATTGTAATTGTTTGAAAACAAGGTGCTCATGAATATATTTTGACCTAGAAAAGAGCTGTATTATACACATCACCTATCATAGTGAGGATAGTGAAATCTGGGAGGCTCTGAGGGACTGGACATGTGGGAGGCAAGGGGTTCATACAGAATTTTGGTGTAAAATCCTGGAAAACGATCGCTGGGCAGACCAAGTAGGAGATGGGAGAATAATATCAACATGGATCTTAGGGAGGTGGGCTATTAGGATGAGAAATGGATGGAGTTGTTTCAGGATCGTGTCCAGTGGCAGGCTTTGGTGGAGTCAGTGTTGGGCCTGTGGGTTCTGCTACCAGGGTGTTAGTTAGTTAGTTAGTTAGTCAGTTTGCAACATATAGATCATCTACATTGAATGGCACTGTTGTTTTTTCCATCTTCTAAATTGCATGTTCTCCATGTTTGTGTTATTGAAGACTGAGTTACGAATTACTATTGTCTCCAATAATATGTTGTTCATACTGAGTTTCACAAAAATTTATCATGCAGCATATCTAATATTGACACCTGTGGTTAAATCAGTAGAAAGATACAGTTTACAAATAGGGTTCTGAGGATGGAACTCATTTCCTCTGAAATTCAAAATATTTAAATGGGAAATACCAAAGTATTTCGAGAAAAGAGCAAAGTGCTTAATGAATGTTGGTCACAAGCTACTTATTTCTCGTTACTGATATTAATATACTTCCACATTTGAGTGTTAATTTAGGCATTCCAGATGAACGTGGCAGAAGAGCACTTTGTTGGAAACTGCTTCTGAATTATCTTCCTTTGACTCGTGCATCATGGAGCGAGACTCTTGCCAGGAAGAGGGAACTGTATAGACAGTTTATAGGTAAAGTTAATATTTTTATTCTGCATGTACCGAATATTCTATTTAAAAAACTGGTACATGAACCCCTTCACACACACATAATTATGAAACCAGTGGCAATATTGAATTCTTCCAGCAATATCCTTTTATAGCAGCTGACGCACTGCTTCTAATTGGTATGGCTGTAATTTCAGCTGTTTTATTGCTTGATAAGTATTTCTCACAAACACTTACTGTGTCCCAAAATTTTATTACCAGTTGATATATTGTCTTATTTCATACTTGCTTGTCAGGAAACACATTGCTAAATGCTTCAATAACAGCAGATAATTTAGATGCAAAGTAATGTTTAAGAACAAATGCATATTCTGCTCATGAATACACTATATTTGTGTATTTGTACCTGCACAGCTTTTGCACAACTGACATGAACAGTGGCCTAGCAACCAGGGTGACATCAATTTGAGTGTTACATGGCAGGCCCAACCATCCAGCATGTTATTACATACATTTTATGCTTGGGATGAATTACGTATCTTATCCAATACTTAGCTGGTCTCAGAGTAAGGAATCTTTTATGTTTTGGCATATTTCTAAACATATAATCAAATTGGGTTATCAGGTTTTTGGACCTTATTCATTGTCTGATGTTATAAAACATGACTTTTTCCACATCCTTTCGTCATCTGACTGTCTTATGGATCCATGGAATGTAAATAAATTATTATTGTTATTATAAAACATGACATCAAACGATGGAAAAGGTCCAAAATCCCAACAATCCAGATCGTATTACACCATCATCAGAACGCTTTAGAATCAATATAATCAAATTCTTTTAAAAATTAACTATCAAAACAGGCTCTTATGAATACAGTAATGAATCAGTGGGTTCCATAAAGGACATGGCATTTCTTGACTGAGTGAATGTTAACTTTACAGGAGGACTCTGTTTTATTTATTTAGTTATCCCCAAACTTATTATAAAACTCAAATGTAATTTTACATGTTAAGGAAGGGATTGATTCCAGGCAAGGATAGGTATTTATATTTTCACATCATTGTCCACACTGATTGTGGAGCCTACCTGGCCTTATTGGGTGCCATGTGCT